TGTCCTGAGACTCGAACCCAGGGCCTTGCGCATGCTGAGCATATGCTCTACCTCTGAATCACACATCGGTGCATCCTGCTTCCCTTTTTGTTGCTGCTGATGGCAGGACCCAGAGTGCTCTATGTCTGAGTTGCGCCTGGCCTCTTATTTTTTGAAACAGGGTCTTGCTAAGCCACCCCAGCTGGCCTCAAGCTTTGATCCTCCTGCCTCTGCCTCCCAAGCAGCTGGGGTCATAGTGTGCGCTGCCTCACCCGGCCTCTCTGTACTCCCGTGGCTTCCAGGCAGAACCTGTGCGCTGTGTCCTACAGTGCTCCCAGACAGTGAGGCCCTGGGGATGGGAAGTGCCAGAAAGGTGTGTGGGCAAGCGGAACAACCAGGACCCCTCAGGAGGCAAAGCCCAGCTGGAGGAGACAACACCCAGGCCCCTCCCTGTCCCCAGGGGCAAATGCAGAGTGGGGGGACATAAAAACAAAAAAGTTGGGCTTGGTATCTATATAGGAAGATAAAGCCATGGCGGTGATTTTTTAAAAAGCCTGCATTCAATGGGCTGTTGTTTGCTTGGAATGTGGGCACTGCAGTGGGGGACGGAGCAGCACCCAGTTGGAGGTGCCCTGCACTGGCACGGAGCACCCAGCTGTGCTATCTCCACTCGGCCCGGGGTGCAGGCCACCTGGGCTCTCGCAAACAGCAGACGTGTAATTAGAGGCTCCGGGCTGGGACCAGGCGGTGTGCGGACAAGTCTCGTCCTGCGCTGGCGCTGCCGTGGGTGCTGAGTTGCCCCTGCGGCCTGGAGCCGGCGAGCCAGGCTCCCATCACTCACCCAAGTGCAGGAACTGTCAGCTGGCTTCTGCTCAGCCAAGAATGCTGATCAATCACAGAGTAGAAACACTGTGTACGAGGACACTAGGTCATCCAAGAGCACGAGGACAGCCAGGAATTCAAAATATACAAAGTACGGCTTCCTGTGTGCTGTGCCGGAGGCCTCTCTGAGGCACAGCCAGAGGAAGACTGGCGCTGGGGCCAGAGAGACACGACTTGCCGTGACTGGCACTGCAGGGAGGGCGCTGGGCGAAGCCCTTATGACCGTAAAATGAAATCCACGCAAAGCGTGATTAAGATGCCCACTGACGTAGGTCTGAAGTTATTTCCAAGGAATGAGGGAACGAAGGTGCCGTGTTTTGTGCAAGAACAGTGTCATGAGCATTCCTGAGGACCGGTTCTTTGGCGATGCCACCTTTTCCATTTTACAGGACGGGGCAGACTGGCGCGTCACAGTGGCCTCTCTGGAGGGTTGTGCGGCTGGCCTCCTGGGAGGAGGCAGTGGCATGACAGAGAGCGACGCAAGGCTCTATCGGAGACAGGTGCAAGCTGGTACTTGGAACAGATCCTTTCCTAGCTGTTCTCAACTCCCCAACCCCACCTGTTGTCACGGGGCACAGGACACTGAGGAACAAATAAATGATAGTTACGGGGCCACTCTGATGTACGTGATTTGCTTAGGTACAGAAAAACACACACAAGTGTGTTTACTACTCTGAATTCCAGGCAGATAAAAGCAAAGGGAGCCTGTTTAAACATGCTGCAGTAGCAGATTCCTGGTGGCTTAGGTAAAAGTGTCTTCAAGTTTGCCACTTTCACATAAAAAGCAAGAAAAATCCCATCCTCCCAACAAGCAGATTGCATCAGACAGAGCTAAATCATCCTTCCGTGGAGTTGCAGGGAGGCGGCGGCGAGGCCAGCCATGCGTGGAGACCCTGGGCTCTCCTACCAGATTCCAGATAGACTTGATTTACGCAAAGAAAGCCCGAAACTGCTCTCAAACACTGCGTGAGTCCCATGCAGTGGCCACAGGGGCTGGAGTGCTCCGCCAGGTGACCCAGTCTGCAGGATAAATCCCTGGGTGCAGTTGAGTTTGAACAAAACTGACTTTCTTTCTTTAGGACAAGAGAACCTCAAAGCTTTGACTGGGTTAGAAATGAGCGCCTTTGCCTCCTGGCTCATTACACACGGAGGTGAGCCAATGGAGCTTCAAGCCTATGGGTTATGTGGAGGCCTTCACGAATTCCCAAACTCTCAAGCCCTTCCTGTGGCTCGCTCAGTGGCTGTCACCTAAGTGGTGCCTTCTCAGGGACAGCGGCACCTTCACGACACCTCTTTTAAAAGTTTCATGAACTTGTTACAGAATGTCTAACAGAAGGCCAATTCATTTCTAAATTGATCATTAAAAATGGAACCAAAGTTCTTTTCTTGTTTGAGACAGGATCTTCTATGTAGTCCAGGCTGGCCTCGAACTCGTGGTGATCCTCCCTGAGTGCTGGGGTTAAAGGCGGACACCACCACGCCCGGCCTGAAGTTCGTCCTGATAGTAACTTCTGTATAAGGGTGCTGGGCCTGTGCTAATTTCCGGATTTGATAATATGTTATCACTGGTGAACTGTGAGTAATGAGGACAGAGGACCTTTCCTATTTTTCAAAGGTGAGTCTGTGAAAAGCCCATGTAGGAAGTAACTGTGCGAAGCTCTGCGGACTTGTAAGGAAAAGTCTGCAGTATATCCTCAGACTATTAATTATGTGAGGAAATTAGGAAGTAAAATGGAGAGTGGTTTAGAATCTATTTTGATTTTGGGGCCGGGGACGTAGCTCAGTGGCAGAGCAAGTGCGCCTTGCGCTTTGGTCTCCAGCACCATCACTACCAACAAGGAAATATGTTCTTGAACTAGCAGACCTCTGGATATGGCTTTCTTTGTGATGAGCTATGAATCATTTTAGAAGACTTCCTACTTTTTAACAAGGCCCCAAGCAGTAAGGAGACAGCCTCCTAAAGATGGTTCTGTTCCATAACATCACTAAGACAGCCCCTGAGACCTTGGGGAAAATAGGCAGCCAACAGTCCTTGGTTAGTATGGTTTTGAAGTTTGCTAAAGCAAGGCAGGCGACCTGATTCCTGCTGGTGGGACATGGCGCCCAACACTGCGTGAAGCCGCCGCTCATCAGAGCAGTAGCTGAGGGCCGCAGGGACCGAGACAGAGCTGGCTGTGGAGCGCTGGCGCTCAGCCCGCTGGGGTGTCAGCTGGGGGGGTGGCCAGCTGTGGCTGTCAGCGGAGCAGCAGGCACTTCAGTGTGGCTGGGGAAAACGACAGAAAAAGGATATTCTTGCAAAAATCAAGAAAAAGTGCAAAGAAGGAAAAATGCTGAACTAAAGATATTAACTGCAAGACAGAAGGCAGGGGACAGGAGCTGCAGAGGATGAGCCCAAGGGGCTGTGCCCCGGGTGGCCTGTCAAGCATTCATGGCCGAGGGACCAGGCAGGCAGAGGGAGGCCCAGAGTCCCGCCTTTCCTGCTAGACCCCGCTCCTGTCAACCCCGCTGCCTCTGCCTCCCAGGGAGCTACTGAAAGCCAGGCATTCTCCTGTCTTTCTGCCCAGCCCTGGTCTCTTCTCTCTTAGCCTCTGCCTCCAGCGTCCCTGTCGCATTTGGCTTCTCTGCAGCGCTCCCCACACAACAGCTGTGCTCATTTCCTAAGCCTGATCACACGGTGTTCCCCTGAGGCCGGCAGCTTCGGAGCAGTGCCCACTGCCCTCTTCCCTGGCCCAGCCTGGCCCTGCCGGGGGCGGCAGCTTCTGGCACCACCCACTGATTTCCTGATCCAAGGCCTCCCACGGCGGGAGGGCAGGCAGGCAGGCAGATGGACGGTCAGACGACTGACTCGTTTCCTCAGCTCACCCCTCGCAGCTCTCAGTCAGCCTCCCTGTCACCCGCTGTTCATTGCCTTCCTATGCCTACCCCAAGCCACACTGCTTTAATCCCATAAAGGACTCCTTTCTCCCAGGGTCTGACCTGTGAGTAGTGTCACTGTGTGGTCAGTGCGGCCCCCACCTGTGTGCCAGACACAGATGACTAAGGAAATGCCTGGGGACGGGGCCCTCGCTAGGACTCAGTTACTGCTATTTCTTTTTTTTGTTTATTTATTTATTTTGTTTGTGTGTGGCCAGCTCAGCCCACCAGGGGGTGGGGCTGGCTGGTATGTGGTGCTGGGGGATTGAACCGCGGTCCCTGTGCTTTGCTTAGCTTAGCTTGTTCTAAGTAGGTGCTTTAGACCACTGAGCCATCTCACCAGCCCAGTTACTGCTATTTCTATGCTGCCCCTTTGCCAATGGGAAGCAGGAGCAGGGCCTTCGAGTCACCTGCCACCCAACTCCGAATGAGGTGGGGCGGAGTTCCCTCCCCGGTTGTCTCATCTGTCCCAGTTCTACTTGCTTGAGCACCAAGCAAAGTGTAGGCCACAGGGCTACCTCCTGCACCCCCAAAGCAGCAGGGAACTGTGTTCCTGGGCCAGCCTACATGACCATGCTGGCTCCACTGCACTGTCCTCAGTGGGGACTCCCAAGCCCTCAACCATGTAACATTTTTTTTTTGCGGAACCGGGGATTGAACTCAGGCCCTTGTGCTTGCCAGGGAAGCGCTTACTCTACTGAGCATCTCCCCGGCCCTGTGTTAACTATTTTGATAGTAACACCAGAATCAAGTTCACATTCTTCATTACAGGTAAATGCAAACAGCTCACTTTCACTGTAGCTTTTATAATGAACAAAGCCCCTCAGCTTCACTTCTAGAAAATTATAGTAAGGGGCTGGGGAGCTAACTTGGTGGTCTAAGTGCCTGCCTGGCAAGCACAAGGACCTGGGTTTGATCCCTGGTACTGCATGCCATGCTGGCCCCAGAACCCCAGGCACACGGTGACAGCCACCAAAACTGGGCACAGTGGCGCATGCCTGTAATCTCAGAGCTGGGGAGGCTGAGATAAGAGGATCACTAAGAGTCTGAGCTGTGCAGCTGATGAGGCCCTATGAGAAATAAAAAAATAAAAGATGAATAAAAAAGAAAAAGAAAATGACAGCAAGTTCCAACATGAATCTCAAAGAATCTCCCTTCCTCTTAGAAGTGATAAGGTTGTCAAATTCAAACATTTGGTAAGAGTTTAAGGCAAGAAACATCATTGCTGGTGTCATAAATAAGTATTATAACTTTATTAAAATGAAAAGACAATATTCAAAATAATGCAACAAAATGAATAAAATCCTTTGTCCAATACTGTACACATAATGCAGAAATCAGTGCATTTTTCTAAAGCATGTTTTAACCTTCATTTAGTTCATACTAAAATATAATAAGCTTTAAATAGCTCAAATGACATCATTCAGCAGTTTAAACTGTAAACAGCTTGTTTAACTGTTAAGAGAACATCGCAGACATGTTCCTCTGTTAGCGAGCACCTTCTCCTTCGTGCTTATCCAACAAGATAAACGCGGCAGAGGATGTGAAGACAGGAACAGAGCCGGGTCTGGGGCAGCAAAGCGGCCAGCCGTGAAGGTGTTCAAAGCAGGAAGGCGCCGATGTGACCTCTGGCCTTAAGACATACCACGCTCTTGCTCAGAAGTGTTTTACTTAAAAAGCAAACAATTCCCAGGAAATACTGAATAGGAACCATCAACACAAGGCCAGCTTGTGCTGTATTTGTTTATTAATATAGTCTAAAAAAACAAAAACAAAAAACACAACACACATCCCACACAGTAACTCTCAACGGCAGCTACCTGCTCCGATCTTTGTAGAAGGGACACCCTGAACCCCGGCTCCTGAGTGCCTGTGTCTGACTCGGACAGGTCCCACTGTCCCCGGGGCCCACGCTGCAATGGGCCACTTCCCTGCGCCATGGCGGGCGCCATAAGGAAAATTATTGGCGGATTTCCTTATCTCTTCTTTGTTCAAGAAGTGAGACATGCACAGGTGGTGATACGGCTCTAGACAAACTGCTATCCCTCCGCTCAAGACAAAAAAAAACCCTGGAAGTGTGAAGTCCTGGGATGATTCTGAAACCAGGCAGGTACAGACCTGGTCAAGAATGTATGCCCTCCATGGAGAAGACCACCTCAGAAATAAGGAGCAAAACCTAGCGGGCTGGAAACCCTCAAACTTACTAAACAAAAACAATGTTTTGAGTGATTCTGATCTAAAGCATACTGCTTTCTTCCTCCGTTTGCTCATTTCCGGTCTGTCGGGAGCCACTGCGCTGGCTTTCCACCCATCACTGTGAATATATATTACTCTAAGATAGTCACTAGGGTTAACCTGCAGCTATGGTCTAGGGTTACACCACAAGTTTATACATAGGCAGATAGCGTAGCATACATCGAAGCTTCCCCGTCCTTCCCTCCCATCACATCTTTAAGTTAGAACCTCGAGTAAGTTCTCTCAGCGTGGCAGCACCTCACCACCTCCTCAGCACAGAGCTCAACTGTCTCACGCTGCAACCTGACAGATCGTTCTGGGAACCTCAAAGCTGGAGGACGGAGAACCACCTGCTCCCACGTCACTTCCACCGCACCGCGAGCCCCAAGTCTAGGGAGAAACCACGTAGGATGAGTGTTTGCGCTTTGTGTGGCCACCCAGCTCCGGTTTCATCTTCGAGTCCAGCTTTTCCATGGCCGAAGCCACAGCACAGTCAGCAGGGAAAGGCTGGATGTGGGTGCTCGGGTTTGTTTCTTCCGCTTCCCTAAAAAACTTCTCGTACTTGTCCAGGTACGGGGGCCTCTCGGGTAGCAGGTAGTAATGCGTGGAGCTCACCTTCTTGCCATTCTCAATGATGGGCAGGATGCAGGGAACTTTGTTGGCAGAGCCCTCGCTGTTCTGTCTCTGCAAGGCCTTGCTGCTGACGTACTTGGGGTCTGGGGCAAAGCTCTGCGTCGGGGGCATGACCCCATTGAGGTAAGACGGAAGGCTTTTGGGACTTGGTGTGCGGGAGTTGCTCTGGGACACGGGTTCTCTTGGGGGGACCTTGGGAGGCCTGTCCTCATCACTGTAGGTACTGGAAGTCACCTCTGCCGACCACCTTCTGTAATCTGGCTTCACTGGCCGGGGTGGGATGGGAACCCTGGGGGGCACCTCAGGCTTGTCTTCATCAGAGTTGGGCGAAGCCCTGTGTGCGTAGCTGGATATGCGGATGGCAGGCTTGCTAAAGGAGCCGGCGGGGCCTGAGTGCGACCGCCTCAACCTGCGGTGGGTCTGTGGGGGAGGAGGACGGGGACTGGGGACCCCTCCGTTTTGGTCAGGCTCGCAGCTGAGATCGGCAGCAGAAACACTGGGGGTGTCAAAATATGCATAGTTGATCTGTCCACACCCACGGAAGCTGCGCCGGCCTGGAAGGTCGTATCTGAATTGGGAAAGTGTGCAGTCTTCCAGGAGGAAGTCGGTGTCTGAGCTGGTCAGGAATTCTACCTCGCAGTCCGTCTCATCCAGAGAGAGGTCTTCAGAGATGGGCAGCGGAGGCAGGGGCCTGGAGCCCCGTTCACAGAGCGCCGCGCAGGGCACGAGCGAGGAAGGGCAAGCTTTGACCGGGGTGAGCGGAGGCGTAGAGGTGCAGGCCCCGCTCACCGAGAGTTTCTTAAAGCCACACACGACGTGGTTCTCTTCGCGCTGCCTTAGGCTATCACTCGGGGCAATGATGAGAGGGGGCAAGCTGGACTTGTGAGAGGGCCTGACTGCTGCCAAGTGGTGGCCGTTCATCGGAGCAGGCTGCGCCGGGTGCCCTGGAACAGACAAGGGCCATCATGAGGGGCAGGCTCCTCCCTGGCTGGGGGTGGGGGGCAACACGGAGCCCTGGCAGCCTTGCCGTCTACACCCACAGCACCACCTTAGGCTAACTAGAGCCACAAGATGGTGACCTGGTTCAAAGAACAAGCTATCTCCTCCATCTCCCTTGGACATGTGCGCGGCGCACGCCCACACGTCTCAGGCAGGTTCTGTGACGTGCGCAAAATGCGCAGAGGCCGAGCAGCATGTAATTTCCATGCGCACCGTGCCGTGCCAGCCTTGCCATTTAGGACACGCAACAAGGCAGGGCAGGCCGGGCGCGTGTGAGATAACCGAAGGGCCTCGCCACCAGCGCAGCATGCCGCTGGGAGGACGGACTCGCTGGCAGCAAGCGCCCTGATAAGCAGCTCAATAAAAACCTAAGGCACATAATGTTCACATCCGCAGAACTATAGACATACAATTTTCAAAGCCGTGATCAACATTCGAACCACTTTCATCTCTAACACTTTCAAACGTGCATTCGATATTTCTGATAAAGGTGAGATCTTGTCCAGTTTCAAAAGGTTAAGAATGCAAAGCAGCCGCAGAGCTCATTCCTGACCTGGAAAGCCGTCCTCCCACTGTGCTCACTGGGAGTCAGCGCCTGGGGGTAAAGGCAGTGCGAGGCAGCAGGCCCAGAAAGTCACCTTCAGAACTGCCTGCCACTAGGGGTCACACTACTGGTGGACATAGCTCAAGTTTCCACTTCTCAAAAATAATGCTGCAGAAGAGGCCCGCGGCCCTCCCGCCCGCCCGCCCAGGGGCCAGGATACATACTGACAGATGGCAGGTGCTCCGGGGCTGGCGAGCTCAGACTGTAGGCCATGGTGATGGGGTCGATATTTAAGAAGGTACTGAAGGGAAAGGAAGGAGAAGGGCTCGGTCACTCGAGGAGGAGCCGCTGTGTCCCCTGTGCACAATCACACCACACGGCACACAGAAGCCGGAGGCATCGCATCCTCCACTTACTTTTCAAACTCGCTTCGACTGCCCCAGCAGGTCTTCATACTCCCCAGGGCCTGGCCATTGTGTAGAAATCCGGTCTTTAATGGAGCCCGAATCTCCTGAGCAGCCACTCCTGCTGTGGACATTGTGCCTTATTCTGGGATGTCTCCAAGTCTGAAGCCAAGGGCTAGAGGTCACCCAGTAGCTTTCATTCCCTGAGGGGGATCGAGAAGAGACAGGACACTCAGGGGAACAATTCAGAAATATATTTATTAGGAAACTCTAAATTAGGGTACAAATAAATTAATATTAGGGAACGTGAGGAGTGTGGAAGAGAAAAATTCAGAGCAGGCTTCAGATCTTACTTAGGAGAGTACCTGTACCCCCTAGCATTATGTACACGCCAATATACCTCTCTGTATCTGCATTATCACTGTATCTGCATCAACTCAAGGCTCAAGAATGTTTCCACAGCATGGGGACCAGTCCATCGTCACAGAATGCGATCAAGGTCCCCTTCCATCGCGCCCAACCGCTGCACCTCAGGAAGAGCCCTTCTAAAGCAGCGACTGTGGACCTTTCCATCAGGGGCCCAAACTCTGACTCAAGACTCACCTAGTACAAAGTGTCAACACTGCCATTAAACCTGAATACTGAGGTTTTAGTTTAGAAAAAACCCAACTCTCCTTTAATATCTTTTGTCTAAAAGCCAAAACAAAGGCCTGCCACTGCCGCGCCACCACTGTTCTAAGGATAGGCTGCACTGGCAAGGCATCCAAGGGAGTCCAGCTTATCTTCCCCAAGCTGACAAAGTAAATCCACAAAAATACCGTCCTTCACACCGCAGACCCCCCATGCAGTGGAACCCGAGATGTCACCAGAGGTTCTCGACCCTGGTGCCTGGCCGCCCGCAGCCAGGGTTTACTCAGCATCTGCTCTGGCCCTGGAAGACGTGCTCCACTTCTTACTTTCTCGAGAAATAGTTATGTGGAGATTCTCATTTCCATCATCTAGTGAAAATCAAGTTTTGCAAGGCTGTAGTGGGAGCCTGGGACTGAGGCTCCCTCCCTTTCAAAGACAAACTTCAAGGTACATTCCTTACATTCTCCCTCAGTACTTCATGTCGCTGCCGTGCTGCTAAGCGCAAAGCTAAGTACACCTTTCTTAAGCTTTACGAACCCCTCTGTTGTCGGCTGTTATCGTCCGGGGTCCCCATGGCCTCTATAATTTACTTTTTAATATCTGTCACATCAAGTACCAATCAACATCAATTTCACTGCCTTCGGATATCCTCGCTTACTTCCTCAGATGCTAGGATCCTGTCAGCTCTCTGCAAGAGGACCCTTTGGGCGGTGTGCCTACGAACACAAGGCTTTCTCCTCTCCCCAGCTATCTGCACACCTGCCAAGCACTGGCGCCAGGCTGAAGACTGCGGATGCCATGCCGGTGACGCCGCCGCCTCTGCAGGGGGGTGGGGCATGCGGGCTTTCCTAATTGCTCAACAACTTAAAATCTATTATTTACAAATCTGTCACCTCTTACTAGACTATGAGCTTAGGAGTAGAGGCTGCGCCCCAACCTCCTTTAATCATCACATTAGTAGACGCTCCGAGGGTGAGTGTTAAAGGAAAGATTGGCCCGAGCCACCCAATTCCTATTGTCCATATCAACAATGTGTACGGTGAAGAGCTATGAGAATACAAGTGTGCACTACTTGTGGGGTTTTCACATTAAAAAGGAATGTGGAGACAGTGACACCCTACTGGCTAAAGGGTGCAGCGGTGAGGGGTGTGGGTCCCCAGTACTGATTCTTTGCATCTCTGGATCGCCCAGCCAGAAGCTGTCTGGATGTGCTACGCTGAGATTTTACAATAGGTTTAAATACTTCAAACAGCCAAGCATTACTTTTCTTAAGATCATCTTCTCAAAGACACATGATTAAAAAAATATCTGCCATTGAAGAAATCTCAATCACTGGGAGGTCTCTGCGGGTTGGGTTTTGGACTATGGAACAGCAAATGTGTTATTTGCCATCAAGTAAAGCTATATAAAAACCAAAAGCCCAACACACAAAAGTGGGCAGCCTTTCTCTCGGGGCACCCAGCTCAGTGATTTGCCACGCTTTTTTCTAAGCATTCTACAAGCACTGGTGAGATAGGGAAAGTATTTGTGGGAACACAAAAAATGAAAGGCAAGATAGGAAAAGAGCATCACATTTAAGTCGTCTGGAAGCACACGTTTGAAGCCTGTTCATCCAGATTACAGGAAAATGCTGCGGGGGCTCTGCAGGCCCAACCCCCACCTGTCGGCACGCCAGCGCCAGCGAGTACTACTAGTAATTACTGTGTCAGCCTCCTAGTGCCATCTGCATCTGCAGCTTTCAACAGAACGATTGCGTAACGCTGGCCTCGCTGACTGCTGTGGAATTCTCAACTTACATTTCAATGGTCACTTAAAATTATTTATATGTTTTAGAAAAAGTTATTTTTTATTCATTGTTTCCATCACCTACTTGTTAGCTTTCTTAAGAAAAAAATTTTTTTAGTATAAAAAGAATTGTGTTCACTAAGCCAGCTCACTTCTGACCACAATGGTGTCTTTGTGTATTCATAGAAGGTGACCTGCCTCTAAATTTCAATGGGGAATTGTGAATGGGCCATGTTATGAAACTGTCCGAACTTCCTACTTGCTTGCATGGGAGAAATGAAGAGGGCGATATAATTGCCATATTCTCTTCTTCAGGAAAATAACTTCAAGCCAGAGATCCAAAAAGAGCAATGTCCCATTTATCTGAAGAAAGTATTTTAAAAAATTATTCTTCAGACTGTAAATTGAGGGTTTGAAAGCACCTGAAATGCTTTTCTACCTCTCTGAAAACCCAGTATTCAGTCTGTATAGGGGTGTGTGTGAGAGAGAGACAGAGAGACAGACAGAAAGGGAGGGAGGAAGGAAGGGAGGGAGGGACAAAAGAGAGGGACAACAATGAATCTGGCCAACTGCAAGCTAGAATGAAATCCTGCTCCAGTGAAATTTAGCGCTGCATGTGTCAAATGTTGTCTGGTTCTAATAACTAGAAACTAGTTCTGCTTCACAATTCATTAGAAAAACAACTGCAAAAAAGCTACCTATGCAGGACAAAGCAATACCTGAAAGGACAAAATGGCACTGTTATGAAATGCAAAAATAAAAAAACAAGGGTTAATCTAGGTAGCATGGTGTAGACTAGGATCCAAATAACACAGCAATGACAACTTGGCTTGTGTTCACGAACTACCTTCTTAGCAAGTCAAAAATGCCCTTAAATACCAGCTCCAGATACAGACAGGCTTTTGGTTCACACCACTGATCTTCATCTTAAAGAAGACGGGAAGGACCTTAAGTCCTGTGGGTTTGAGGGTCTCGTTTTGTTTTCTCGCAGCCCTCCCCTCTTGGCCAAGTTTTGACTCACTTCTGTGGCTCCAGCTCTGCAGAGATGGTCCCTGAATAGCTGGTTCCAGCCTGGCCCGGGCTTCAACTCTGCGTTCCCTATTGTCTGGCGATCACTCTTCCACTCGGATAGTCGGCTGGCATTTAAACCCTATACGCCAGGCTCTTTTCGCTTCCTTCGCAGCTCCACACACCAGTTGGGGGATCACACAGCTATCTAGGAGCACCACTTTCTACCCGAGTAGACCGACACACTCAACTACAAGCTCCCCAGCTCCCCAACGTGGGTCTGCATTTGCATCTGTTCAACTTGATTCTCCTCGCGGTCCCCAGCACCCATCTGTCCCAAGTCTGAAAATAACCCAAGTGCACACTGCTGTCAGATCCATCATTCCCAAGGACACCTACCTCTTCCTCTCAAACCAACCTCTTCCCCTGCTCAAGAACCTTCAAAGGCTCCCAAATAAAACCTCCCCCTGGAATGCACGTGCGTAAGCTTTGCAGACCTTTGTCACCATAAAAAATAATGCTAAACAAAGGCAGTCTTGCTACTTCTATAAGTATATATTTTATATGCAGCCCATGAGAATTCCTTTGCAGCTGTGCGGCCCAGGCAGACCAGGTGGTCCGACCCACCTGCTGTGAGGCCTGGCTGCACAGCCTTGGCTGGCCCCAGCCTGCCTCTGCTGCTCCAGGTCTTGCTTCTCCAAATCTGAATCCCACTGAGGCCTCAGGCCCCCCACCCCCACCCCCCGCAGCTTCCCTCCAGGAAAGCGGCAGCGTCTCATCCCTTGGTCCTTGGGTTGTGGTGTTGGGCCAGTTTCCCCTCCATCCTCCAGATCCCCAGCCTGGCAGCATTTACTCCTAGTTCATAGTGATTACGCAGCCACTGACAAAGCACCCAGCTTCCCTAAAAGCTATTCCACACAGGCTGAGCGCTAACATGGACAAAGCGAAGACCTACAGTGACACCGGGACCTGACTGTGCGGGGGAGGAGACTGCCAACAGTAACAGAGCAGCGTGACCCTGAATTCATTTCCCAAACCAATGGCCAGCTTTCTAAATTGACTCTGGTTACTGTGAATTTGCCTGAAGCCATTAGGGGAGGGTTTTCTGAAAGAACGAATTTTATCTTTTCTTACACGCTACTCCTTCTGCACCTACAATGCGCCTAACTCTGTTTTTACTGCCAAATTTAAGGTAACTTCCCTTAAAAAAAAAAAAAAAGAAAGAAAACTACACTCAAGTCACACTGCACACCTTCTTTATTAAGGTGAAATGACCTGCCTTCAGCTTGCAGATAGTCTCTTTTACTTTTTCATACTCTCTCCCCCCCCCCCAAGCTACCTTAAGGCAGTAACCTAGATATGCTCACCTTGCCACCAGATCTCATTAATAAATCTCAGGCGCAATCCACAGGAGGAGGAGGGGCACATTTTTGTCATACAACTCACCCAGTTCTGCCCAGTGCTTCCTTATTTAAGAGTGTGATGTAATTTCCTTCTTCAATCTGGTTCTCGAACCTGATTTCTGTTTGTTTAGGGCGATAAATGGTCTTTTCAGCTGCATTTAACAATTACCTACAGAACCACTTCCATAACCAGGGAAGACATAAGGCAACTATATTTACAACCAAAATTTTTAAAAAGGAAAATAATTAGCAGTGTGACACACTGCATGATTTTACTTCCTCCCCCAAATATACCAATGTCTGCAGGTTTATGTTCATTTAAAAAATGTCTAGCCATTTGAGAAAACACGAAAAGGAACCCACTATCTGACTGCGATTAACGCACTGGTGAGCAGGCTAGCCAACACATCCCCATTCAGCTCATCTGCTGTGTGGAATCTTATTAATGGTCTGAAAAATCCCACTTGCTACTCACTATAGGTTTAGGGTTTATGGTGGTTACGGTGTTGTGTAACCTGCGGCTATTTACTGAAAGCAAAAGAACAAGCTACAGAGAGTTTTCAAAGACAAAGGCTCCAATTCAGTGTTTTAGATTTCATTTTAATAGGCTATGATTTAGGGGTAGGAAAGAAAGGAGGAGGCAAGAAAGCTTCTGTCCTTGCACGCGCCACCACGGCACAGCAGAAATTGCTTAAAATTAAATGTGGGGATGACTTAGGATAAAATGCGACTGGAAGCACTTCTGGATCAATTCACACAAACGTGCCTGTTTCAGGGACTGTGACAACGCGGCCTGAAATGTGAAAATGCACACTGGTGCCTGCGTGTGCAGTACCACTCCCTGGAGGCCCCTAACCACAACCAGCACAAAAAGGCCCATTTGTAGGTGCTGAAATGGAGGCGAAAGGAAAATATCTTCAGACTGTCAAAATCAAAATTAAATGACATGATTTCTTCAAGAATTCAGAAACTTTTCCAGCAAAGCACTTTAAGAAATGGCAAGCCAAACAACCCTACTCGCTCAACCCCCCTAATCAATAGCTTCTTGATGCTCCTGGCCCACACAAGCCAAACACGACTGCAGAAAGCCGAAGAGCAGGAATGTTATTTGCTCCTTTTCCTACAGAGCACAATACTTAAAATACAGACAGAAACATTCCCTTTTGACACACACAGATAATAGATTCCTAACTGTGAAAGATCTGTGAAATCCATTGAATCTTAATGACACTGAACACAATGGCCTAATGACGGGAAGTGAGTCTTTAAAACTTCACATTTATTTAACAAGCATTTAGGTTACCCAATGGGCAACTCGGGATTGCTACAATTAACATACACCATTAATAACAACTAGTACCCATGGACGCTTATCTGCCAGGCGCCGGCTGCTGTGTAGGCTTCAGTGTGTTACTCAATCTTCTCCCCAGCTCTGCAGCAGGTTTCCATCACTACTCATTCAGAGAGGAGCTGGAGGCGCAGAAAGCTAAGGACTGCTCCAGGTGGAACCTAGTGCCCAGGAGGCCAGGTGGCCACAAGGAAGGCCAATTTCAAGGCCCGGCTTTGACCCCGTACAACTGCCTCCCGTGCCCGTCACCAGGGATGAGATGTGATCTAGCACGATGCCTGCCTTTTATGGGGAGCACACAGACCCTGGGGCGGAGTGGGGAGTTGCTTGCTAACAGTTTTCTCGGGCCAGGATAATCTGGAACCTACATAAATTTGTTTTACTTGGACTCCCTCAAATTTTCCTGTGAAGTCACTATTGTACTTTGGGCTTATATATCTAAAAAGGGTGGGTTATGGGATCAACCTGACCACCTACCACCATTATCAACTATTCTCCCCAACCCTCCAATCTTTAATGACACTCTGATACCTGACCGTGTGAAACCTGTTACACCTCCAAGGCTGATACAGCACAGATCTGACTTGATTCATCAAAGGGGCTACTACATAGGTATACACCCTACTGGCCTTCTGCAATACACGACCACAGCAGGTATCCCAATGGGGGCCTGAGAGCTGAGGTCTGTCATAAAATCCAAGGTAGCACCTCCTGTTGGAGGGCCCCTACAACGACAAAACACTTTCTTCCACCCCACAACCCCTCTCTACAGCAGGGACTGGGGTCTCCACTTGGCAAATGAAGAAATGAAGCCAGGCCTGAGCGGGCTTCCTGGGACACTTCCACTACCTCTCTGCTCTGCGGCGCCTTGTCTTTCTCCTAACAACCTGTACCTGCGGAGACTGAAGCAAAAGACTGCTAAGTGCTGGCTGTGGAGGTGGGCTCGGGACTCACGTGGTGCTCCTCTCAAATTCATAGATGGCAAGGACTAATTCTTCTCATAAATATGTTAGCAGATGCTGACTCTGGATGAGGCACTGTAAAAAGTGAAGAGGACTGCAAAAGACACAGATGCTGTCTGTGAAGTATTTGAGTCAAGGGGAGCAGGGCTGGCAAACACCAAGCAGTCTTAGCAAATGCAGACTAAGGTAATCAAGGAAAGCAGCCAGGGACAGTGACAGCGCAGGGACATGAACTCGAACACTGTTTACACAGGTGCTTAGGGTAGGAAGGTCTAGCTGAGCTGATACCCTAAAACCAAAAGCCGAAGGATGAAAAAGCACCAGCCATGAGAAGAGTTGTAAGAACCTTCCACACACAGCGAATAGCATCTTCTGAGTTGTAAGATTAGACAACTTTCCCCTTTGTGGGGCATTAGTGAGAGTTTTTGAATAATGTCTTCTGGTTCTTACCATTCTATTGTTTCTGAGTTTGGACTTCATCTTATGCGGTCCAAGTCCCACGTGTTACAATCTGTCCACGAAGCGTGGTCTGTGCGTAATACCACGGTTTATGGCACAAGGGACTTGGCCAGAGGAGCAATGAAAACTCCAAATCTCAGAATCTCTCCTCCTCTTGCCTTCTGAAACCTGAATCCCATGCTAACTTTTTCTACCATAAGCTAGTGACTTTGCTAGGACCCCGAAACCACTTTTATCTACTTTTGTTAAGTGTGTGTTTACACTACGTGAATAATACCAAAATACTACAACTGGATCTTTCTCTAGCATAGCCAAACAAACGCTTGCAAAGGATGCTAAGTGTCTCCTGAGGATGCGGCACCAGTTCACACTCACTGCGCATAATAGAACTGCTTCTCGGGCAGCGAGCTGTCTGAGCACCACCTTTCCCTCCTCTGCTCAGCTTCCTACAGCAACCCGATGGTATGCTGATGATCAGGTCAGCTTCCCAGCATGCTAGATTGGACCTGTAATTTAAGCAACTTGCTTTTAAAAGCTACCATTAGTATACGCAGAAAGGAAGTACCATCCAGTTCAACTTGAGAAGCAGCAGTGAGGAGTTATTTTCATACAAAAACTCAAGACTACAGCTTAATCACACCTCACAGAAGGGTAACCAGCAACTATTGTGTACTGAAAGTAGAGAAAAACAATTTACTAAAAAACAATTTTACCTGGCAAAATCACGAATAATTCAGACATGTCATAACAACCATAAAAAAGATTTACTTTCCAACCCTTATCAGTGACTGGGCCAACTCTGCAGAGCCCTAAAATGCAAAACATGCTTCCCTTCATTTATTTATCAGCACCAGCTACGGGCAAGGCTGTGCGAGATAAAAGCTGGACGAGGCAGGGCTCCTGCCCTGAAGGAGTTTGCTGTCTAAAGTATCTGCCGGGTTAGAAACCGATAGCTGAGGAGTTCCATCACCAGGAGCGAAGTGTCCACCAGAACACACCCGTGTGGCGGGAGGAAAAACCGCTACAGAAAATGAGGGGAAGGACAAACAGCTTGGGAAATCCATGTTAAAAACCTGTAATATTTACATACCGGATGGGCATACTTATAATAATGACACTTAAAATCCATCGCAGCCAACAGGTTAGCAAGAACTCAGCTTCTTCAATTTTCAGTCTGTGAAAATGAGAGCTTTTTCTGATACACTACCTAGTCTGCCTTTAGTCTCTGTAAGTAAAATGCCTCACGAACCTGTATAAGTACAGAAATGTAAAGAAAGTTGTTTCTTTTTTAAAGCCAAGACCAAGAATGAACATAGATGTTTCAGTCTCAACAAACGGACACCCACTGCATCATTACAGCTTTATACAAGCTTTAAACTGCAGAACATTTGTTCTCCAGGAAGAAAAAAAAAAAAAAGGATTTTAAACCTCACCTTTCTTCACCCCTGACAGTTGCCTAGAAACCAGTCCTGCCCTACCTGTGGTGCAGGTGTACCTCAAGTCACCAACACATCTCTTTTAAAGCTACAGCCTCTCTTCTGACTGCACTTAAGTTTATGACTAACAATCTATTCACATTTTTATCAGGTAAGAGACTGGTTTCTTTCAAGCAATGATGAAATCCTAATAAAGACCTACCAAGCACCAATACAGCCCCAATCACGGTTAAGGAGTCATCTCATTTGTACAAGGACACCATACACATATAAATACACGAAATTCCCAACGGACGTGCACGTTTTGAGCATGAAACCCTGCAGTCCCACGCCTTTTGAAGCAGTAAAGACATTCAGAGCGAGGAATCACGTTACCAGGCGAAGGAAAAAAAAGGACACAAAACAACTGGGACTAATTTAAAATTTCAGGTTTAGGAAATGCCCGTAGGTCGCCCAGAGATGCGGGGACCCCGGTTGGCCGCGACTGAGAGCTGGGGATCAACTGCGGACGGGCAGTCAGCGAGCTCTCGGGCAGGATCTGCGGGCGCGCGGGGCCCCCGGAGCTCGGGCGGCTATCGCCCACCGCGAGGGACCCGAGGTCGCCGCTCCGAGCCCGCCGCCGCCCGAGGCGGGTGCCGGTGTGGCCGGGACGTGTGCGGGGCGCCTGGG